AGAAATCCGATCTTCGGAGGCCTAGCGGCCCGCCTCATGTTAGTATTCGGAATCAGCACATTCGATTACCTATTGTTCACTAAGTTTTAAGCTAGAAGCGATTTATCACTTGGTGTCCTTTCCTCGTGAATATCGCATTGCAGGGATTTTCCTAATGTTCCTTGGTTAGGAAACTACTAAAATCTAATCCCATTCCTGTTCCTGTTTTTTTTTGCTGCTTGTGGTCGTTTCTGCTTCAGTTAACACAATCAGATGCATGCATAGAGGACAGACGTTAAATAAATCACTGTTTTTAAAGCACCCTTTATTCACCTAATCTAGTGAAAATTGCTTACCGTGCACTCTGTGTTGTCGAGGTCATCTATTATGGGATATATTCGACGTCTGAAGTTTTTTCTTTAAAGTCCTTCGTAGTACAAAGAGGAACAGAGAGTTATTATTTCGTTTCTCAGTCTCCCCTAAAGGACATCATTAACATATTGGCCTTCCTTCTCTCCCGCTGTGTTGTTTCTCGCTTTCCTGCTTACACCTACTTTTGTCTGACATACTTTATAGTTACCCCACGTTTGAAGTTTTTGATGAAATCTAAATACGATTCGATTTCTTTCTTTTAGCAATCCGTTATTAATCAAAAAGAAGAACCGGCCAAATTTATGCCGAAATCGCGTCCGCCAATTGAACGACCCGTTTCACCGCCTAAGACATCCTTATCTAAAGCCAAATTCAATTGTACTTACACATATGAAGTTCAGAGTTCTGAAATGAGTAGATATTGGGAAAAGTCGACGGATTTGGAACGAATCGCAGGTTAGTGTATTAGAATGGTGGAACTGGTTGAAAAAAAGGAATTTTCAAACTTTTAAACTTTCCTTCGTAGCTGCCACAACATGTATTATCAAAACTGAAGCGCGTCTTGATTGCAGTCATTTGAATGGTAAGTTGAGTATAGAAAGCGTATCTGTAATAGTCTTCTAAACTTTTGTTAGCCACTACTTGTTCGGACAACTTATTAGAAAAGGAGAAAATCTCTAGGATCGATCTGTTTTTGTAAGATTTTCTTTTGCAGATTCTGGATTTTAGAAAGAAAGCGTAGATGTATTTAACCGTTGAATTAAGAGATTTCGATCAGTAGTATTTCCCTATATTGAGATGTCTATCTCTTTCAGACATTTAATTTTTGGTGGGCGCTGATTATGTTGTTCTCAGTGCGATAGCGGCCTTGGCTAGTTGTTGCGCGCAACAGATTTAAGAAGTCGATTTGTTCAAGGTATACGTACTCAAATTAGGCATGAACTTTTCGTAGAAATGTTGGCCATGTCGAGATATTGTGTAGATGAAAAAGGATTCTGTGACAAGTGTATATATTTCATTTTTAGTAAATTTTAATAAGGTGTCTTCAAAGTTCTTCCTTATTGTACACTGGAAAGCTCCACAACAAAAAAAACTAGCAGCTATCCGTTTCTAAAATTGAGATTTCTGTGATGTAAAAAATTAATTTCGAGCGGTTCTCTTTTGCTAGGCCACCAGTATTTTTTTTATTTAAAAAAGTCGGAGCCTATATGCCAATATACGAAGTTAGAAAACGCTCGGAAAGTATCGGTTGGTCCTCGATAAGCGTTCAAAAGTCTCTCAGACAAATATAATTCATATCAACCGAAGTATCATCATTCTAAGTTTTCTAACCTAGGAAAAATAATTAACGATAGAGAGCTTTCGTCTATTGAGATGATAAAACCTCGTTTCTAATTATTTTCTTTATTATTTTCTGACAGAAAAGCAAAGTACAAAATCATTCTAGAGAGATTTACCAAACTTTATGTATGCGCTAGTACCAGCGACAGCTTCTGGAACATTTTAGAAACACGACTGAGTTAGCAGTCTCTTGTTGTTGTTGTTTTTTTGAGAAAAGAATATTCAGCAGGATTCTGAGCTCCAAAAAAGTCTGAAAGATTGAGGCTCGTTCCTCCCTACAAAATGGCGACGTCTCGACGTCGTTTCTAATAAAAAAAATTCAAATTAGCCAGCTAGCCACAATTAGTCTTTCTTTACCAGAGATGAGGTTTACCAAATATTGTCTTTATAGATCGATTGATTACAATAAAATTAGCAGCAAAGTCGGAGAGTAATCTTTCACGAGCAATAGAACTTATTAAAGAAACAGAAGAGAAAAATAATCGGACAAAAAAAATTGATTACACTTCTGCTACCAATACCACTAGTCAGCCGGTAAATTATTCTACTTTTCCGTTCTCTCGGCGTATTTCTATGTTTCTTTGTTTTTCTTGACAGAATCAACTTAGCGAATCTAGTCAAAAGTACTTAACTGGACAGACCGTTATTTCAAGTGGAAAAGCGACTAAATCATCATCTGAGTTACCGTCATCAATACTGACCAGTAAGTGTTATCAAACCAAGTCTAAATTTCGGAGCAACTTGTTTTCTTTTTCTTCAAGATAACCAGCCACAATCATCTTCGCCTGTGACCTTACCTTCACATTGGACACCAATGTCGAAAAATCAGTATGAGAAAGTGTTAGTTGCACGAAGAGATAATTCAAACTGGAGTAAGTGGAAAATTTCTTAACTTGATTTTTTCTCACTGTAAATGATATACTCATTTTGCTCTTCTTCCCGCAGAACAAAATTTAGAAATACAAAATCTTTTTAAACTGCCAAATATGATCCCAGAAACAACACAGAGAAGTGACCTAAGGACGACAAAAGCATTTCTCGGCTATCCAAAACCACCGGATAATCGAAATCCAACAGAAGAATTTCGAAAGGAATGTCCTCTCGAATGTCGACCAGCAGAGCATCAAGATTGGCTCCTGTGCTAGTTAAAAGTTAACCTCGAACACTTCTAATCTTCTGTTAAGAGTCCTTGAGACAAAATATTTATTTAAAGTCTTGATCTAAGGGTCATATTCTGAGAATTACTTCTTTTTGTTTTGAACTACCACAGCACAATTCATAGTAGAACGACTTTCGACTTCTCAAGCATTCAACTAAACTGAAAACCGATAAAAAAACCTGTCCGAACCGATGTCTCTGATTTATTTATAACTATCCTTCTTTTTGATATAAAACCCAAGAATTTATAATTTATGTCTTTCTTCGAAATGTTTTTCTTACTTTGATCTTTCTGAAAACACAAAAAAACGGAACAAGGTGAAATGTGACTAAGTGTTAGTGTCTGTGGACACCATAGACGATGGAGTTCTCTCCAATGCTTGAGGGAAGGACGGAAATTAAATAATTAAACTATTCTTTCCGCTCTTTGTTTGTTGTTTTATTAAAGAGGAGAAAAAAGAAAGAAGATAACAGTCTTAGGCTTCGCCCGTTAAGGGAGGAGTTTAGTTCCTCTTTTTCGTAAAATCTTTGCTGCAAGAGTTGAGCTTTAGAAATAGAGATCCTAGTAACCCGTGCGGAGTTATTGAAAATTTCAAAATTAAAACGCTTTCAGCGCAGACCTCGGGGGTCTACACAGCGAAACTGCTCTGCTACTTATATACACGTTATTGCAGCTGTAACTTTCTTGTCTTACGAAATCATCAAGAAAATCGCGAAAATAGAGTAAACACCAAACCACTCGAAAAATTTGAATTTCGGGAATAGGCCCAAATCGGGGAAAAAGGTCCACCAGCAGCCGAAAATTTTCTAAAATTTTCAACTACACCCAGAAATTCACGCCAATGGGTGATCCACTTGTCTGTTGTCACATATTTTCTCCTTCCACTATAAACTTACACACTTCTCTTCTGCCTTCGTATAAAGCCATTAATCTATAAAGAAGTTTCACAAAACTTGAACTCAACTCTCGCATTTTTTCGCTTTATTTTTTAAATTAACCTTAGAAGGAGAGATTTTCTGTAAAAGCTAACGTCGCCTAAAGTCCTTGGTACATACCATTTTATACAAAGTATGACGTCTTTTTCGCGAGCGGAGAGGGCAGTACTTTTAAAAAAAAAATATCTACCGGCTAAACTTAGCTTGCGCAGCATCCATCTTCAAATGCAGTCAGATCGACGTAAAATTGTCTTTATATCGTCATTACAGAACACTTCTCAGATATCGGCGACTTCGTGATTTGAGAAACCATGTTCTTTAAGTAATTTAGGTTTTAACAATAAATAGCGCCACCGTGCGTTACCGTTGGCTGGGTCCTTGTACTGTAAAGGCGAGCTGTATCGTTGAGTAGAGGTTTTTGTCGTGAAACAATATTCCTAACAGCGCTGTGTTTTGTTGGGTCACCTTTCGCTTTAACGGCTGCGAGTACCTCACGCCAACCTCTGACACTCTGTATAAGCGTTGCGAAGGGTTTTGCCTCAACGCCGCGAATAAAGGATTAATTAGGAAATCACATACAAGCCTAAAGAAGATTTTCCTTGCGCTCGATCAGCCACGCATTTATCTATCCCTTGCAGCAGCAATTTGTGCGTTCGTTCGTCAGTACACCACACAGCTCTGCAGTAAGTGTGTGGGGAGCGGGGAGGGGTGGGTGGCTTTTCTCTCAGCCACGACAGGGTGTCAGTCTGAGTGTCCGTTGAGTATAGGCAAGTACCACCCTTTTTTAATGTAAGTCAAATCGAAGGGCTAAGGAAAAGCAAATTAACCATAATCAAATCCCAACCGTTTCTGCACTCAGCCCGTCTCTATTTTCTTTTATGAAATAAAAATCCATAGATATCTGTCTCGGTAACACTCTACACGGTAATCTTGTGCTCATTTACAGAAATTCGACGAGAAATCCCTAACGGAATTTCTACTACGTCACTAACAAACTGGAAATTTTTTTGAATATCTAGAAAGCGCAAATTTCTCGAGGATAACCTAGTTTCTCGAAAATTATTTGTGGAAAATTAACGAATTTCCGAATTTCCGGTTCCTCGATTCATTCACCGTTTTCTTCTTTTTTCCTCTTATGAAGCTTATTAATAGCATAGACAAGTCATTCTCGGCTCAAATCGTAAGTCGGATTGAGTTTTACGCCAAAACAATTATAACTTATGACTTGGCCTGGATTGACTTGCCAGAAAAAAGTCCCACCTGCTGATCTCCCTTGAATTTTTTTCGATTGCCAAACTTGACTTATGACTCGAGGAGGCAAGGAACTGCCCCTTCCTCGTCACAATTCATACCAATTTTCTTTTTCAGAAATGTAGGCTCTTTTCCCCGCTTTTCTCCTTTAAAGTTTTACGCGCAAAGGTGATGGTTTCAACCTAACCTACAGGTTCGGTTAGATTAAAGCTAGCCTACAAGACCAGATTCACTAATTAGGGTGGTAGTATGCTGGTCTTACTAATTAGTGTATCTGTGTGTCTGTCCTCTTCACTTTGTGTGTCCCCTTGTCTGTCCCTTTTATCCAGGCACCCACACGCAGACAATTCTTTTCATAAGACCCTATACTATCCAGTACAGGGAATAAAACTCTTATAATTTAAGGAAGCACAATCGTCGCTCTACACACACAAAATTGTGGAATTGAAACGTTTCGTTTTTACTTAACTTTCGGGACACTTTGGGAAAATGATGCCGAGAACATCCTTAATTGAGCTCAGTCCTGTGAGGAAAGGAGTAGTTAAGGCGCCGCTAATTCAAAGGAGGAGCAACATCTTATTTCCGCTTTTAATACACATATTCGGATAGAGAATTTCACGCTGAGTCCGAATATGACCTTTTTACTTTGATTTTATTGAGTTTTGGGGT